TCGAATTTACTGCTTTTAATATATATATATATATATATATATATATATATATATATATATATATATATATATATATATATAATAAAATGGACAAAGTGCTTTTAATAAAAGTGCTTTTAATATATATATATATATATATATATATATATATATATATATATATATAAAATTAAACAGTCAAGTCAAAATTCAAAGGCGACAGACTGTTTGATGCTAGATGCAGTCATCAGGCTGATGATTACGTCTAATATGAAACAGTCTGTCGCCTCTGAATCTTGACTTCAATGTTCACTTTTATATTTACATACGCTCTGTCCCTGGTATTGAGCACTTTGTTCCATAAATATAGCACACCTTAAAACTATGTATCTTCATATATATATATATATATATATATATATATATATATAATTGGCCACTCGTACCCGTCTATTAGGGTGGTGCGCCAATTCCTCTTGCAGACGCTCGCTCAGGCACATTTGTGTTTATTCAACACCCACAGTGCCCACCTGTGGTTTATACTGCAACTATGCTGAGCAGACTTTAGTTACAGTTTCTGGGGGAGAGCGTGTTACCTAGCGTGATCAACAATCTGAACAAGGCCAGCACACTCAAAACCTCGGTCATGATGACTTGTGACTTCCTGCTAGCACAGCTATCGACAACACCCATGGTTTCCGTCTACCCAATTTCACTCACAAGGCTTGGGTCAACTCGTGGTATGGTTTACAGGTACTTCCCAAAAGGTGCCGCACGCCGAGATCGTCACCCTCCAAATCGATAACATCAGGAATCTACTTCCAGACAAATCAGTATGTATATATATCTATATATCGTTCACATAATCCACATGCTTTTGAATTTCTCATTCAGATTTGGAAGAATAAATCTTATGATCTTCAACATTAATACTTTTTAATTTCATTTGCCTTAATCATGTACTTTCTGTGATATTTACATCTCAAATGATATCAATTTTTTTTTAAACATATATATATATATATATATATATATATATATATATATATATATATATATAGTGGTACGCACGTCTTGCACTGCTAAGTAATGGTCTTTCCTTTGGCCTCAGGATGATAACATATGTGTGCCGCTAAAAAATATATATATATAATTACGACATTACGTTCAGCTATGTGTTAAATAGCTGTGCAGATGAGGCTCATTCACATTGGTTGTTCCATCTTCCTGTAAGGACAACTATGAATTTAAAGATGAATGATGAACCTTAAGAGGGATGGGCTCCGCCAGACTTGCACTAGACAGGCGCATTGTAACTACGGTTGCAATATCTGTGATGTCCCTAAACCCAGTGGCTACTAGACGCGTGATGGTGATCCTGAATTATGAAAAAGAATTTCATTACAGTAAAATCGTTTTTATTTTCAGTATTTGAATGTTGAACAAACCTGCTTGCTATCATCGTGATTAGTTTCTGTTAATTGTCTACTACGCTATTATTGCTTCGCCAAACCTGCCTTCCTTCTTGCTATCTGTGTCGTTTCTACAGTCTCCTCTTATCGGGTTTGCTTTACTTCAGGATCTGTATCAATTGCAATTATTGTGACGAACGTTTACCTGGCCTCTTCTTTCTTAGTCATATCCTTCCTTCCTATCTAAAAAGAATACACGTTTCGATTGCATGACAAGATATCGAATGAAGTCCATACGAGAGTCCATCTTTCAGTCACCTTAACTCCACTCGATATGGCGAGCTGTGTTCTCTTTTTCTTCTCAAAGTTCCGACTTTTTCTTGGTTTTATATCCTGTGATTGTTCTATCAATCTATACGATCTGGCTTCCTCTAACTCAATATCGTTTTTTCTAACCATTTATATAGCATAATGTCTATTAAGATATAAAATCTGGATGAAGGAAATAGAAAATCATTTCTTGGCTTAACATCACGCGCAGTGATTAAATCCAGGCACTGTTTAAGAAAACTATTATCTACAGGGAGCCTAGTAGAAAAAAAAAGCGGCAAATTTATGACCGCCATTTTATCTTTCAGGAATTATTGACCTTGAATAACCTTGAATAAATTTCTTAAATATTCTTGACCTTGAATAACCATACGACTCTTGCGTAATTACTTACCTCTGATTTGTTCCTTTATGATTGATTAAGTACTGCTTGATCTTGTGACTCGTCATTTAAAGGTTATTTGTAGACAACATTCGTTCTTTCGTTCTGCCCTTCTCCTATGGCTAAACAACACACTGATTTTGAGCGCCAAAGAAGAACATCCGACGAAATATGCCGAAATTCTTCCTTAATTTATCAGTCACACCAATCGTCACCAGTTTTCAACGGCTATCGCACACGTCTTTCTTAATTTACCCTCATTTTTTTTTTACTGTGCATCCTGTAATTTCTATTAACCGTTTTATCTTAATGGAACAAATGTTAAACGGTCCTAGAGTTGGCCTGCCTCTTCGGATCCAGCCTTGGCAGAGTTCAGAATCTTTTAAAGCAGTCTTGTGGAGCAAGACCTACTCTCCACTCTGCAGTCTCTTTCCTATAGAAGCAAAATTGCAAGTCTGTCTCTATTCTCTCAGCAAATGTGCAGAGCTCTGTTCTTTAATTCCACCAGTTCATACCTTTACATCTAGGACACACCTGGATACTTTCACGGAGTCGACTCACCAACATTTTATCGGTGTTCCAAATGTACGGAGAAAGTTCCACTGAAATTTTTTCCTAAGCACTGCTATTTTGTAAAACAGTCTCCCGAGTGAGTGCTTTCTTGAATACTACAATCTTCTATAAGTCAATATTCTATCGTTATCTATTCTCCTTATCCTCATAATCTTTATTTTCTACTATCTCCTCTTTTATTCATATCACATATCTCGTTCGACATTAGAATTTGTTACAGTAAGTCTCTGTTTTCAGTGGCTCACGGGCATTGTGTTGGTTGAAATTTAGTATTAAAATCCGTGTATACAATGTAAAACACGCTTTTCCTTATTGTCTTCATACTGAAAACTGTAAATCAAAATTAAATAAAGACAAAAGCAACATAATTTTCTCCATAGAAAGAAGACACTGAACGGTGAGGTTTTTGTTTGTAAACTATTTTACCTTAACTAGCGATGTGGGATAAAGCAGATTTTAAAAGCAAGCTTCACTTTACAAAATTATATTATCTTAAGATAACATTATCTGTCTATATTTCTAAGATGAGGTATTATGTACATTATTTATATTGCTCGGACTAAAATCCTCATCTTTGTTGCCATGTTTATCACAACGTCTCAGGTTGTTGGAGTGTCGAATGGAAACCTTTATTTCGCTCGCTGGGGTAAACTGTTCTGGTTCCATGTGCCACGTCTAATAGATGTCAGTTACCTCCTGTTAATTCCGCTATCCAAGTTCTCCACTGCTTTAACCGGGTATTGAACTCACACTCTTTGGGTCCTATCATTTGATCTAACTAACGCCTTTATCCACAGTGTCATGTGTCTTTGAGGACACCTGTGTATGAATTTCTGGGTATTATAAACCTAATGTCTTCAGCAACCATTTTTACCAGTGCTCATATTGCAATTTTTACTGTTATCATTGCATTTTTTTTTTTACCTGAGCTCATATTGCAATTTTCGTTGTTATTATTGCTTTTTCTCTGTCATTCCTTATTAGTGGTTCCCATATTGTATTCATTTCTATGCTTGGTCGGCTCAGGAGATTTTTGTGGCCTAGCATATGTGCTGTTTCCTTAAGTTTACGAATTTTCCAATGATGTTCTTTGTCTATGATTTCAACATGATCCCACAAAGGGCGGTGATCTCCCTTTTCTCCCCATATGTGGTCAGCCACGCCATTATTCCACTTCCCCTCGTGTTACAGCTTTCTGGTGTTCTTGAAGTCTTACTTTAAGGGGACAGCCTGTCTCCCCTTTATATTTCTTTCCGCAACTGCAAGGGATGGAGTTTTTTAGTCATGTTTCTCTTCTATAGCGGGGGGTTCTTACTCGGGAGAGGTATATGCGAAGTGTCGTCCAGCTTTTGAAGGGTGTCCTGATGTTATAAGCTAACATATTCAATTTTACATCTTGATTTGGCGTATTTGAGGTTGGAAAACAGCTTTGTGACGAGTTGCAAGGGTTAAGTTTTTTTCACTTACCAGTGAACTCACTTGCCAGACTAAAAGTTAATGTAAAAGAACAATGCTTTCTGCCAACTTCACTAGTTGCAATACGACTGTCGAAAATATTCATACAAAGTCTCACTCGAAGACGAATTCTTCATTTTTCCGTTTCTCCCTTGTCCTTAAACTATTTTATATCTTCTTCGGGCTTCCAATTAACTTGATTTGATTTCGATAAGCGGAGGAATTGCGCGGAAAATTCTATCTTTGCGCTTCATGAAATAAACCAGCAGATTTTAATAAACCAGCAAGAAGTTATATTTTCATGATGAAATAAAGGTTTATCTCTTTATAAGTTTATCAATTCTTAATGAAGAAAAAAAATCAAGATCTTTACGGATTTTTTTTTTTTCCTTATTCAAATATTTTGAACATTTTAATATACCAACGTCTCTCTCTGTTTCTCTCTCTCTCTCCTTATTTCCTTCCTTTTTCGTCTCACTTTTTTCTTTTCTCTCTCTCTCTCTCTCTCTCTCTCTCTCTCTCTCTCTCTCTCTCTCTTTCTCTTCCAGGCTTTCACTTATTTCTTCCTCATCCACATTTATCTTCCGATTTTTTTTCATCTTTTTTCTTTTCCATATCATTTCAAAAATTTTAAATATTTTTTCTGATCAATTGTAGTTTATTCAAATAATTCTCATTTTTCAATAGCTTGTCTTCTCATTTAATCTTTCTTCTCTCTCTCTCTTTCTTTTCCTCTCTGTCTCTCTCCCTTTCTCTCTCTCTCTCTCTCTCTCTTCTATTTTTCCTTTTCATCCCTTTTATCTTTCTTTTCTCTGTTACTTTTCACTCGCTTCTCTTACTCTTCTCCATCTCTTTTCTTTCGCTTTTCTATGTGTACTGCCTTTCTTTCTTTTTCCCTTTACTCTTTCTGTCTCTCTTCTCTCTATTTCTCTCTTCTTTTTTCTCATTGTTCTCTATCTCTTTCCCACTCTTTTTCCTTTATTTCTTTCTTACCTCTATCATTTTACTCTCTCTTCTTTCTCTCTCACGCTTTTTGTCTCTTTCTCTCTTTTCTTCCTCTCTTACTATTTTTGTCTCTTTCACCCTTCCTCCCTCTCTCTTTCTCACTCATTTTCTTTCTTTCGATTTTTTCTAACTTTTCTCTCTCAATTTTCTCTATCGCCTTCTCTTTTCTCTCTCTTCACTCTTCCGGCTTTCTCTCTCTCTCTCTCCCTCACTCTCTCCATCCCCTCTCTCTTTCTCTCTCTCTCTCTCTCACCCTTCCTCTCTCTTTCTTAGCAATTCTGTCCCCGCGTTTCCTTTATACTGTCTCTGATTCCCTTTGCTTTTTTCTTTATCTGTTTATTTCCCTCTTGGATTATTTCCTGTTACTTCCAACAAATTCTTCCTTTCCTTTAAATATTCTTTCACCACATCATCGACATTTCTCCTTCCATTTCTGTCAATTAAATTCCAAATCTAAAGGTGAAAGTGGCATAAGATCCATGTCCCTTGTCTTCATTACGTTCCTGAATTCGATCTTGATTTTAACACTGAATCAATCACGCATCTGTAAACACCTTTACAAATTCCCTTTCAACCAAATTAGGCGATAGAATCTCTCTCTCTATATATATATTCAAATCACACCTATATATATATATATATATATATATATATATATATATATATATATATATATATTCTTTCTTTCCATTTCCTCTATCATTTTACTCTTTCTTTCTCTCTCACTCTTTTTGTCTCTTTCACTATTTTCTTCTTCTCTTACTGTTTTGTCTCTTTCTCCCCCTCTCTCTTTCTCACTCATTTTCTTTCTTTCGATTTTCTCTATCTTTCCTCTCTCAATTTTCTGTCTCGCTTTCTCTTTTCCCTCTCTTCACTATTCCGTCTCTCTCTCTCTCTCTCTCTCACACACACACACACACACACACACACACACACTTTCTCTCTCGCACCTATATATATATATATATATATATATATATATATATTTATTTTTTATTTTTCTCTGGATCTTAAAACTTCACTTTCAAAAAGTGAAACGAAAAATGAATTTAAAATTTACTCTTTTGACGGCAGTATTAAGCTTCTATAAGTTGACATAGAGGGTGGTGAGGAATGGTATTTCCATGGGGACATCGAAATTATGTTTTTATATATATATATATATATATATATATATATATATATATATATATATATATCTTTTATAGATAGATACATAGATAGGAAGGAGGCACGGTTGAGTAATTGACAGCGGTTTGGAATGAGGAATCGGAGAGCCTTGTCCGAATTCCATTACATTCACTTACGTGCTAATACCCTTGGGAAAGGTATGAATCCTCTTCCTCTCCCTCCAGCTATGGGTAAATAGCAGGACAAACTGGGTTCTATAGCCTTGGATGGCTACTGGTCTAGGAGAAGGGCAACTCTGAATTCAAAACCTGCTGAGGGTCGTTTGAGGACCCTGTGGCACGTAGTGCACCAGGTCTCTGTATTCGGCCCTTCAAAAAGTGTGGATGGTCCTGCACGAAACCTTCACCACTATAATCAAATCTCATGTGCTGTTGGTTTCCTGGTAACTGATCTGCTTCGACGGGAGAGTATATATATATATATATATATATATATATATATATATATATATATATATATAATAGCTAGGCGTTCATATTCGAGGATACCTGTCTATTACAACTGGTTAATTTTTAAAATTTTGGATTTATATATGGTTGCGTATATCGGTGATTTTATGGAAGTGGAAAGAAAAATGTCGTCGGAAAGTCACTCATACGTACGCCAACATACATCCCCGCACGTTCACGCATTGTAGTTCACACAAACATAAACATATATGAATAGTGTGGGACTGGACGTATAAATTAATCAGTTTGTCTGACGATCGAAAGTAGCGTGAAACCCAGAGTCATAATCTCACATCAATCCAACTAAATATGTTAACTCTATCCATGATATTGATCGCTTTCCTATAAGTACCGCGAAAATATAATATATAAATAATATATGTGTGTAAATATATAGAAAAATAGGGAAGAAACTTTAGGTTACTAATTCGAAGTTCTTTAGTATTTTGGGATTTTTAAAATAAAAAAAAAAAGCAGTGCTCAATACCCATGTAGAGCCTAAATTATAATTATTTTTTTAAAATATGATTCCATCGCTACATAATAAATATATACAAAAAAATAAAGACATTTTTATGTTTAACATTACTTTTATAGATACAAGTATTTAAGTAAATGCTCTGTTTATAATAAACAGTATTAAATAACATTTACCGGCCTGAATGTCCGAGAAATTGTCATAGAAAATATTCGTCCTTTGACAGGATTCGAACCTGCATCCTATACGGAACCGTCATTTACGTCCTTTGTGGCCGAGTCGGTTAAGGCACGTCAGCTTAAATAAATTATCGGACTTTGTCCAATTCTTAATATATATATATATATATATATATATATATATATATATATATATAGAGAGAGAGAGAGAGAGAGAGAGAGAGAGAGACATTTATATATTACATTTACATACATGTATAATTATATATATAAAATAATTAATAAGAACACCGGATTATATATCTTATTGTTCTTTTTCTTTTTTAATATATATATATATATATATATATATATATATATATATATATATATATATATATATAAGTTTATCCACTACACTCATCAACTGGTTTAAGCACAAAAATTCTACTATAATTATGTTTCTCTCTCTCCCCCACCCCCGTGTTAATCAGGGACGGACATGAATGCAAATTTTCTCTTGCTCTCTCTGTAACTGATATACGGGCGCAATCACTCAAATCCTGTAACAGAAAAACAATCTTTAATTCACTGGAAATATACAAAGTCATACATTCGTGCAAACAGATATAAAATATAGGCAACATCTCTAAATGCAAAGAACTGCGCATAGAATAACGCTTTATCGATCTGAGAGAAATGACCCCATCGAACAAATCAAGTGTCCTGAAATCAGATTGCTATATAGTGTATAATTAAGGAAACATGACTAAATTAGCAATTTCATTTGTGTTTGACGTCCTTAAATTACTTAATTATAATTTTCTCGTCTTTCCAGTTAATTATTTATTTATTGGCGTTTTGGATCAATCCTAGAATTTATTATTGGATATAGAATCATTCTTTGTTCTTTTACAATCCTCCTTAATTGACACTTTTTTCGCGTTTTTTTTTTTAATTATTTAATAAGACTAATTTTTACACCATCTGACTGTAGTTAATTTAGCAAGTACATGAACATATAAGCTTTTATGAAAAATGTTCCTAATCACATTAGAAATAAAATAAGCTGAAGTCGAGGACTTCGTCCATTTCATAATATATGACGTCATTTGTTTACGTTAAGATATGCTTCGAGCAGATATGAGCGTTCGAGAGAAATCATTGGAAATTTGTAGTTTACAAGCAGTAATTCAACCTTGCTAGCCAGACGCTTCCTCTGTAGCTAAATGATGTTTCCGTGTAGAATACAGGTTCGATTCCTGTCGGAGGACACACATTTTCTCTGATATTTCTGGGACATTTAAGCTGCTAGATGCTGTTAATACTGTTTATTATAAAACAGAGCATTTATTTAAATATTTGTATCTATAAAAAATAACGTTTTCGACGTATGAGTGTCTTTCATTTCAGTTTTTATGTTCATGTTTCGTATGAGACAACAATCCTGCACGGGATTTGCAAACAAATCCACACAAAGGGCATACTGAAGGGTTGGCCGTTATATAGGCTGATTTATTAGCCCGAAATTTAGTGTTAATTCTTAATTCTCTCAGATGGTTAAGACGATTCTTTTCAAAGTTAGTTCTACCTTGGTAGCAGGTATTTCTCCAGTTTTCTCGGTTTTCAACAGCAAGTTCGAACTCCTCTATAGGGATGTTTGCAGCAATTAAATTGTATTTAAGTTAATCCTTGAAGCTTAACTAAGGACCGACTGCGTTACGCTTAGCATGAAAAAGTTGGCTATACATGAGGATTTTCGGCATCCGATCATCACACATTCTGATGACGTGTCTAGCCCATTTGATTTGTAATTGCATCAGAAAGGATTCAATACCACTGACGTCACATTCGATGAAAAGATCAGGGTTAGAGATTTTTTTTCTGCCGTGTATAACCGCGTATTGAACGAAGACAGCGTTTATGAAAAGCATCAATTTGATTGATGTGCGTCCTGTATGGCGTCCACGATTCTGACCCATAAAGAAGTGTGGTGAAAATAACTGGTCGATAGACACTGAAATCTCATGACCATCCCATAGGCGATGCTTAAGCTTCCCAAAGGCATTGGTTGCCTTTGATATTCGGTTAACTATTTCGCCATCCAAAGAGGCACTTGAATTGACTTTGCTTCCTAAGTACGAAAATGATTTCACATACTCCAAGTTGTTGCTGCCAACAGTAATGAGAACGATTGGAAAGGTATGGGCAGGTAGTTTTTTGTTTTACACACATGATCTGCTAAGGTTTAGGCCTTGGTTGACGGACAACTTCAGTTTTCTTTATGCATATAGTTAATCCGAAGGCATTGCAAGTGGTGGAAAAACGATTAACAAGTGCTTGAGCTTCTTCGATTGAGATGGCCACGATCGCAACATCATCAGCAAACAAAAGATCACGAATAATGCTTGCTCGTGTCAGCGATTTTGATATATATATATATATATATATATATATATATATATCTTAATTGATTTAAAATATGTTTTTCGCTACACAGTAATAACCATGTTTCAAAAAATGGATGCTAAAAACTTTAAATTTAATTTTGTAATTAAATTAAAAACATTAGTTCCATTTCATCCTCAAGCGAATTTTGGAGTAAGTTATTTTTAAAATTTACCGAGGTTTAACTACAAGAGAAATTCATAATTTACGTTTTCCAAGGATACAGAGAAATCCAATCACTCAGACAAGGGGTGGTAACGTGTTCAGTTTTATTAACTTTTGTTATATCAGTTATTTGTTACGTTCGAAAAAGGGGTTAAGTTTAGGTACGGATTATATATCTTACTGTTCTTTCTTTTTATTTAAATATACATATATATATATATATATATATATATATATATATGCTAGCAGCATGGCCCGGTGTTGCCCGTGCTTGATTCAAAAATCGTACGATTCATACAGCAAACATAAAAGTGAAATACATCTCTGTCTAGTTAAAAGATTAATATCCATTTACACTAAGCTAAAAATAATTTAATCCCGTTTATGGCTTTTTATTTGTTACTTTAAAATAGCAGAAAATTCGAGTTCTCTTTTAAATAGACAGCACTTTTGAAATGTCAAAGACTTTCATATTCTGTCATTTTGTTGACAGTATTGATAAACTAATCGCAAAAATAATAAATGACTGAAAAACTAGAAAGTCTATAATAATTCATAAAGACCAAGAGATGAATCGGTAACTGTGTTAATTGTGTCGATTCTGTTATTATGGGATTTAATAACTATGGAAGAGAAAACTGCCGAAAGTTTATAAGAGTCAAAAAACTGAAAAGATAACTAAAACCAGAATAAAATGCCGATCAGAAAACTCCATAACGATAAATCAAAATGGAGAAGGAAGCATCTGCACGCCATTTTAAGAGAGCAACCAAGTGAATAATGGATGAAATAACATGAATACATTTGCGAATAAGACATTGGAATAGAGAAAATTAATCATTATCTCTATTGACTCCATAAGAACCAAACATCGTAAGGAGACAGACAAATAATAAACGTAGAAACTGTGGAGACAGAGAAGAGGCCATCAATTATATAAGCGAATGACATTAGTTAGCACAAGAGTTTCACAAATAGGCTAAAATGGGTATTAAAGGTGATCCATTTGGATACTGTACAAGTGATTTGAATTTGATCAAAGGAAAAAAAATAGCATATATGTACAAACCAAATCTAATTATTACCATCATCAAGGTGATGAAGATTTGTTAATGAACGTCGCTGCTCCGGTAGACAACACAGTAAAATGAAAGAAAAGGAGGCAATTCTTCAATAGTCTGGTCTACTAGTAAAAAAAAAAAATAGGGAAAATCTTTATAGAAAAATTGTAGAGACAAGAAATTTCGGAGATTAATGTTCGCTGAGGCCCTGGAGGGGTATATCACATAGAAGAGGAAGAAAAAGAAGAAAAATGAAGAAGAAAAAAGAAGAAATGGAGAAGAAAAAAGAAAAGGTAAAAAGAAGAAAGACTAAGTACAAAGAAGAAGAGGAAAACGAAGAAATAGAAATTAGAAAAAGAAAGAAATAGAAAGAAGTAGAAAGAAATAGAAGAAAGAAGAAGAGAAAGAAAGAAGAAGAAGAAAAAGAAGAAGAAAAAGAAAGGAAGAATAAGTAGGAAGAAGAAAAAAGAGGAAGAAAAAGAAAGAAGAAGAAAAAAGTAGTAGGAAGAAAAACGAGAAAAAAGAAGAAAGAAATAGAAAGAAAAAGAATAAATAAGAATTAGAAAGAAGAAAAAGAAGAAGAAAGAAGTAGAAGATGAATGAAGAAGAAGAAAGAAGAAGAAAGAAGAAGAAAGAAAAAGAAGAGAAGGAATAGAAAAAAGAAGGAAAAGAAGAAGAAAGAAAATAAGAAGAAGGAAAAGAAGAAAAAGAAGGAAAAGAAGAAGAAAAAAGATGGAGGAAAAGAAGAAGAAAAAAGAAGAAGGAAAAGAAGAAGAAAAAGAGGAAAAAGAAGAAGGAAAAGAAGATGAAAAAAGAAGAAAAAGAAGAAGGAAAAGAAGAAGAAAAAAGAAGAAGGAAAAGAAGAAGAAGAAAGCAGAAGAAGGAAAAGAAGAAGAAAGAAAAAAGAAGAAAAAGAAGAAGGAAAAAAAGAAGAAAAGAAGAAGAAGAAGAAAAAGGAAAAAAAAGAAAGAAAAGAAAAAGAAAAAAGAAGAAAAAGAAGAAGGAAAGGAAGAAGAAAAAAGAAGAAAAAGAAGAAGGAAAAGAAGAAGAAAAAAGGAGGAAAAGAAGAAGGAAAATAAGAAAAAAGAAAAAGAAGGAAAATAAGAAGAAAAAGAAAAAGAAGGAAAAGAAGAAGAAAAAAGAAGAAAAAGAAGAAGGAAAAGAAGAAGAAAAAAGAAGAAAAAGAAGAAAGCGGTAGAAAGAAAAAGATGATGAAGAAGAAAAAGAAAAAACAAGAAGAAAAAGATTAGCATTCTTTAGATACTTTCTCAGGCAGTATTCTCTTTTGTGTGTTAATATCATTCTTTGTGAACTTTTTGTCACATGACCGTTGCTTTGCCTTGCATATATCGTCTGCTTGCTCAGTATTATTTTTGCCTTTTTCTTTTCTTTTCATTCTCTTGCTATTGTTCATTGCAAACTTTGTCAAATTCTGTTTGTTATGAACTATAAACAAACCTGTCCAACTTCATTAATAAACTTGTGTTAAAGTAGAATAATATTTTCCCAACTTTTCAGGGAAAATAGGATTATTTAATCATTAAAAAAAAATCCCGCTTCCATACACATAAAACAATTATGTTCACTTTTCACTTGTTGCTCTGTTAATGTCTAAAATATGTATCTATATTTCCATTTCCGGTTGAAAATACCTTTAATCATATTAACCATTTCCCAGGCTAATTTTATTTGACAAAAATATGACGCATATGAAATATGTATGCCTTCACTCATATAAATGTACGTATATTTGCAGCCACTTGTTTCTACCTGTGTGTTCCGTTTCTTGCCTTCAGCCCAGAAACCAAAATGACTTTTTGTGAATGACTCAAAATAATCAAGGATAGGTTTGCAAACCTTTCACATCTGGCCTGTCCAAATCCATTTTTAGAATATGACGTCATATCGCTGACGTCATTTGGCGCCATTATTATCACTTGTATTTTGGGATTTTTGAGCCGTCGTCACGCCATGATGACGCCATTTTTCATTATTTTCATTCGTCTCTTAACCCATATTTCTCTTTTCTCTTTCCAGTCGCAATCAATTTAGATCTATCGCTGCTCCCATATTTACTTTCCTGTTTCGATTTTTACGTACCTCTTTCAGACTTTTATATCGAGCAATCCGTTTGTTCTCCATTTCACTTGTGGATTCCTGTGACTTCCGCTCTGACCTGTATTTTTGAAATATTTCCTTTTTCTCCTCAGTTTTTCTTTCAATCTTTCCAGGCCGTCATTTAATCTCTCTTACCTTTTCTTTTTCCTCTTCTTTTTCTCTTACCTTACCTCGCAGCTTCTGTTGTATCTGCCTCTATTTTCTTCATCCTCTCTTCTTTTCCATTATCGAATTGGATCTTTTCTTTTCCTTCTTTAATTCCCTCCCCAAATCTCTTTCCTCTTCGCTTTCTTTTTAACCTATTTAATGCCAACCGTACAATTGGTTATGCATTATTAAAATAAAAATCCGTTATTGATTCTAAGTTTCCATAAAGTTCTGCTATTAATTACAGGTTTATAAAAATTCAATGACGGCGTAGCTAACGCGTTTGTATAAAGGGATATTAAGGAAGAAATGCTACGTTAGTACTACAATGGTGTTATAATGGAACACACCTATTCTATAGTTAATAGACTCTCCAACCTATAAGTAGGAGTAGTAGTAGCAGTCGCTCAGCGAGTCAGCAGTTAGTTGGTCAGTCAGTCGATGTCGGACGACCGTTAGTCGGATATTAAATTATCAGCCGCCACAACTAGATTGCTGCGTCATTACCTATTATATTAAGTTCCTAACGTTTTGTAGGTCGAACCTATTTTAGGACCGACTTAGTACAAATACAAGCCTCCACTGTGAAACCACTACATAACAACTTTGGCGACGAGGGATTCGAACTCATACGGAGGAAGAAAAACCTTTCGTACACTACAAAAGGATAGGAAGTTGTGGAGAGACATGATCGCCTACTTTCAGAAAGGATACGTTCTACTTGTTGAGGATTGTTAATAAGAATGGACCATTTGTAGATGTCTGTTATTAACATGACCATATTGATATTTAACATAAAATGTCACAAAGTATGAAACACAAGAAGGAACCAAAATGGTTTTATAACAAACAACATTTATATTTATTTTTGTATAAATGATGTATATGCATAGAGTTTACTATTGTGTTGTTATCTCCCTTCGATTGAAAGATTTAATTTTATCTGAGCTCACAAAAGTTGAATGAATTATAAAGCTGAAAAATGCTGAATAAACTGTAGCCTAAGAAAAGTATTTCAAAGAGAAAAGTTCTTGTTGCTTGTTTGGAAATTCTTCGTATATTTGTAATGTAGTTTGGAAAATTCCGTACGTGCGTGCATGCGTAAATATGCTTTTAACGTCTGACCGCCCTGGTCGAGATGGAAATCCTTTTTACAACTGCATCTTGTAGCGAGAAGAGAGAGAGAGAGCGAGCGAGAGAGAGAGCGAGCGAGAGAGAGAGAGCAGCAAGCTCGTGTCTGCTATTTATAATTAATGTAATCACGTGGCAGGATCACAGAAAATTGGCGGGAACCTTGAGTTGGTCCCGCGCGGGAAAAATATTTCTACGTGGGTGGATTGTAACGCCCACTTTGTGTATTGACCAATTAGAAGTTGATATTTCCTGAAAATCTGTATGAAGCTGAATAAACTTGAACATTGATAAGAAAATTGTAGCCGGATGTTAAATACTCCAACAGTTTCAATTCCCGAACTGTGAAGTTCCCTTCCGTTTACTTTCTTCCTTGATAACTACAGTCTTGAAAAAGTTAAATGCAAGGTCATTCGTCATCTTTTGTCTTCTTGAATCTGGTTCATTTTGTATCCTTTCCTCAAACCCTACTATTCTCAGTCTTTTTCATTTTCACTCCCTGTAACCTCCTGCTTACTAGTGGCATTCCAGACTTGCTTGGGATGAAAGAATTGAAAAAATAAATAAATCAAAATATAAAAGTAGAATAATTATAGATTTCTAAAAATTCTGGTATTAATTACAATGGTCAATACGATTTTTGGTGCCAAGAAACAGAACACGATTTTTAGTTAATTCGATGGTGCGATCTTGGCTGAGCGCAAAATTTAGTTAATAAAGGTCATAGAAAACCCATCGGTTTTCAAGTAGGCCGTGCAATTTAAGTCAGCTACACAAAATAAACTATTTTTATAAAGAAAAAAATTGTTTTTGAGTCCAAACTTTTAAAATTGATATACTGAAGTTTTCCAATTTATCGCCGAAATTCAAATTAACTGATAAACTTTATCAGTAATCCACTTTAGTAAACCTGATATAATTATCAGGTTTACTAAAGTGTATCACTGAAAAAGTTTATCAGTTAATTTTAATTTAGGCGATAAATTGGAAAACTTCAGTATCATCAGGTGTTATCAACAAAATGAAACCCTAAAATCTTCTGTTTGATATCCCTAAATTTATTCCATCACCTTTATCCCTTCACTACGGAAGGAAACCAAGAGCATTTTGTTTTGACAGCTGAAAAGAAACCAAGTAAATACATCCCAATTGAATACACCTATTCCATTGTACATAATACTGCTGGGATATTAAAAGGGACTTAACATTGAACATGACAATCAAGAAAGAGAAAATATTTACCATAGTTCTTATGTTTTATTCCTGGTGTTAGTTTATTAAATGATTTGATGAAAATAGTTGTTGGTCTTGGTATATTCAATCGTGTTATTTTTTAAAGACTTAGGGTCTGATTGTTATTGCAAAAATAGTATTTCTCAATAAGCAGACCAATATTTGTTGGTTTAAATACGAATTAAGAGGTTTCTACGATTTTATTTTGAGAAATATTGCCATCGCTCAATATCATATATACAGAAAACAAATGAAAAAATGCTTAAAAAAAAAAAAAAAAAAAGGAGGCTTTTCTGTACAGCAAAATCGATAGCTAACCAAGAAAAAGTAAGGTCATTTTCAGATTCAGCGCCCTCAAATTAGCTAAAAAGAATGTTTGGTATCTCGACACCATTTTTTTTTTTTTTTTTTGCGGACCATTGTTATAGGTTTATGAAAATCCAATTAGATACAGTTGAAATTTCAGCGACACAAAAATGAGGAAAGACAGCTTGGAGAAGTTGACACTCACGAGACATATAATAACATCGAGTAACCTAACATAAAATATTTGGAAGAGATTAGTAATGTGACAAATGATCCATCTCCAGAACATCACTGACGACGCCCTCTAGCGCTAAAAGAGCGTATATTCAAAGCAATGTCTTTAGTTATAGGTTTAAAAAAAAAAAAAAAAAAAACAAGCGATGTAGATCCCTACCTAATTTTTTTTTTCTATAATAAAGCAATGGTCACTATTTCAAAAATGGACCGGTAAGTGTTGGTGTGCTAATCCCAACTTCTTTCTTTTCTTTTTTTTAACATCGGTTCCTGTACAATCATCGAAGTTAAGCAACGTTGAGTACTTGAGCATATCTGCGGCTTGCATTTGAAGCTGGGGTAATGGATAATGGCTGAGAAATCTGAGAGCCGAGTTCAAATTCCACTTTGGCTTTGTTATACTCACTTACGCACAAATAATTTCCACACCTGATATTAACCCTTTGAGCCTTGCGTTCCTGAACAATTTTAACCTTTCTGTCTGAAATTCTGAGTCAAAATTCGCGAATAATTGGTATGTAATGTTTCACGGTAGATGTAAAAATAGTTACAAGTGTTTACCCACCGTTCAACCGGAGTCTGGGCATTAAGTCATTTTTCTCGACCACCGTTCAACCGGTGACTCGGCATTACGTCATTTTTCTCTACCACCAGTAAAACGGTGGTGAGGGCGCAAATTTTAATTAGTAAGATTTGTAACACGAAATCATTATGTCAAAAATCCTTTCAATGTAAAATTAGTTTCTGGCTTTAAATAACCTTGCAAAATCTTTCTTTATTTCCTGAGATACATTAGTTTGCTTTTCTCTTTTTTCTTTTTTTTTCTTTCTTTTTTCTTTTTTTCGTGGAACGCATTATTTCTCCCTTCTTTCTTTTTCTTTCTTTCTTTCTTTCTTTCTTTCATTATATCTTTCGTAAGATACATTATTTCTTTCTTTCTTCTTTCTTTCTTCTTTCTTTCTTTCTTTCTTCTCTCTTCGTTCTTTCTTTCCCGAGATAATTTAGTTTTTCTTGCTCGCTCCCTTTCTTTTTTCTTCCCTGTTATACATTAGTTCTCCTATCTTTCTTTTTCTTTCTTTCTTTC